CTAGAAGTACGAGAAAGCAGATTACTCTTTTCCACGTTTCATGGGATCTTAATAGCGAAGTAGGGGTCGAATGTAAGACTGGCCTGTGTGCCCAGTTTGTGACCCGTTGAAAGTAAAATTCGTTTTTTTTTTTTTCATCGGTAGTTATGCCGTTTGCCCCGCGCTCTAAAATCTAGGTTCGGTTGGGTGTTGAGTTACGACCCGACAACACTAACATAGATACAAAGACAAAGCATTAAGGTCTACTGTGTTCGTAAATTGTTGCTGTGATTGTTATTCCACATGTGCTTGGTTAATATAAAATTCTGTAACCTATGGTGCCATTTCAATGGTTTGAGATGAATTCTTTCAGTATTCCAAAATTGTAGATTTCAAGCTGTACGATACACATGGCCGATAAGACACCTTTTTGGATTGCCTAGTTGATCATGTTCTTGGTACACTTGTTTCCAAAGCGGGGCGCACACGCCGTAACTATAGCATTCGATTTTTGTGTTTCTAGTCTGTTATTCTTTCTACTTCTTTCTACGAGTGCTGATCAATACATTGTCTGTTACTTAATTAATATACAATTGGGAAATCACCATAATCAAGCTTTCCCCATCTTCAGCAGCCGGAGTTGATTTACAAATTTAGTGATGCCCGTAATGCTCTGATTATATGTCCATCTTGTATATCTTGTGTTGAAGTCTGCCGATTCCCCTGATCATTATAGCTCTTCTGTTCGTATGTATTTCTGAACTTTGTGGGGGTCGTCAGAGGAGTTAAGGAGATTTGTACTGTATTCTACTATTCTGCGGACACAGACTGGGCCATATAGAAACAAACGCGTCTTATGGAGCGTATGGTTTATCATGCATTTTCCAAATACAGCAAGGAAAAAGAGAACAAGACGAAGAGGAGATGGAGGTAGTAGAAATGAAGGAATAAGAAAAGGGCGAAGTAGCAGCGACAGCTGTACAAGAAGAAGAATGAAGAGGAGGAGGACAGGAAGAAGAGGAAAAGGAAGAAACAAAAAGAAGAAGAGGAGGAGGAAGAAGAAGAAGAAGAAGAAGAAGAAGAAGAAGAAGAAGAAGAAGAAGAAGAAGAAGAAGAAGAAAAAAAAAGAAGACGAAAGAAAAGAAGAAGATGAGATGATGAAGAAGAAGAAGAGTAGAAGAAGAAGAAGAAGAAAGAAGAAGAGAAGAAGAAGAAGAAGAAGAAAAGAAGAATCGAAGAAGAAGAATAAGAAAAAGAAGAAGCAAAAGAAGAAGCAAAAGAAGAAGCAAAAGAAGAAGACGAAGAAGAAGAAGAAGAAGAAGAAGAAGAAGAAGAAGAAGAAGCGAAAAAAGCCGACAAAAGCAAAAGAAAGAAGAGAAAAGAAGAAGAGAAGAAGAAGAAAGAAGAAGACGAAGAAGAAGAAGAAGAAGAAAAGAAGAAGAAGAATGAAGAAAAGAAGAAGAAGAAGAAGAAGAAGAAGAAGAAGCAAAAGAAGGAGAAGAAGAAGAAGAAGAAGAAGAAGAAGAAGAAGAAGAAGAAGAAGAAGAAGAAGAAGAAGAAGAGAAGCAAAAAAAAAAAAAAGAAGAAAAAGAAGAAGAAGAAGAAGGAGGAGGAGGAGGAAAAGAATAAGAAGAAGAAAAAAGATGAAGAAGAAGATCTAATGAGAGCCTGAGATTGGCCTTTGGATGGTAATTTTCCTACTGACTTTATGTGTCTTATTATCAACAGATACCATGCCCATAAACTAACTGGTCAAAGAGCTAGTAAAACGTGTAAAAATGTTTCTTTAATCGCATTCTCAGAGGGACGAAAATAAACAGGAATAACTCGAGCCAAACTGACATATTCAGTAGAACACATACTGTGAATAGAAAGCTGAACAGACCGGAATGAAAATTACTCCGATTTTAAAATGCATTTTTATTAATTTCGATCCGTGATGTGGCCCAGATATCCACAATCCGCCCTTATGTATTTTAGGTTTAAAACCGACCGTAGTTATTCTCAAACTCTGCTGTCTTGTCCGTAGAGTTTTCTAGTCACAGATTCTGTTGTATTTAGCACTCCATTTATGAAGACGTCGGTCGAAACGTTCTGTTGTACGTGTTCGGTTCTTTTTCCTACCCTTGTTTGAGCTTTAGAGTTTTCACAAACAGACACAGTTTTTTGTTTTAATTAACGATTCATGTATTAAGTTTAGACCAGCAGTTACCATCTGAAAGTTTCAGTTTTCCTATAGATCTGTCAAACTGTCCTGCCTGGGGTGATAAAACAATTTACCCACCCACCCGTCTCCTGCTGTTAGACACCCGGGGTAACATGCTCGTGTTTTTCTCGCCAGCATGCATTAGGGGAACACCCAGGCACTGCTCACAAGCCGCGACAGAGGGTCCCAACTTGGTATCGCTATGTCGGCGAGAGTATAGAAGTTAGCGCCACTGCCAACGAAGACATTGATCCGAGTTCGGTTCTCGATAAAGAGGATTCCCTTCTTTCCCCTTACGTTTACTAGTCGGCTGGAGAGACTGAGGGGTTTTTCTTAAAACCTATGCGGTACTTGTCTTTTAGTTTACCCAATCATGGGGATATCCGAGATTCCGTGTGCAGTTCCCGGGAAAGTCCAAAATTATGAGGGGGGGGGGGTACGAATAGGTTTAGCGTGTTGGTGTAGTTTCACACCCAACACCCCTATACTATTGAACTGTCCCAGGGCTTCCAGCGAAATCTCGGATTCCCTGAAATTTGGTGAATGAAAGGAAAACAACCGCCTATGCAGTGTGGCGTTGGTAATCATGTCTATCCACAACCTTCTGTCTCAGGTATTTTCAATAATTCTGATGCCAGTCATCATCCATGCCGTGATGTCAAACTGTACAGCATCTTCTCTCTCGGTCTCCCACTGCCTGATTTCCCTTCAGCTTTCCAACCGCCACAGTGTACTCTAGTTTTCTCCATCTCAAAACATGACCAAAAGATGTAGACTGTTTGTATGTATGTAAGTTGTACCCCACCAGTACATCACACAAGCGACAAACACCCGGTGACACAAAGTGCCACCATGCGAGTGAGGATCACCCATGGAGAGGTCCCAGTAACCCCGTTCAGCCGTTAGGCCATATTACAGGCCCGGCTATGTTTAGGGCCCTCGGCCAAAAAACCAGGGTGAAGCTTTGAAATAATTTAAAATTGCATTCCACGAGGGGAATGACGTGATTTTGTGAAGAATGTAGATTGCCTTCTAATGTGGGCGATCAGCTCTCTTCAAGCGTCAATTTTTTTTAAGGATTGAATAGTTTAAGAAACACTGGTCCTGAATCTCTTTGAGCATATTTGTTACACTGTTTAGCTGGTTGGAGATCACTTAATGTGAGAACACCAGATGTAAGTTGTCTCCCCTGACAGGACCTGAAGCTTGTGGGTCTAATACAGCGATAGGGGTGAAGGGTCGTGTCCAATGCGGAATTAATAACTACAACAGGGGAGATAAATATTTGGCTGCGGTGCAAGAGTTTGTAGCGGTAGTTTGAGGTCTTCGGTGGAATCTGACTCTGCCACGTGTGGATGTGGAGCAATCAAGAAAACTCCGGAACGTGTCTTATAAGATGGCCCAGATTTTGGAATGTGGAATTTTGGAAAGTGGCTTTACAGAAACCCGTCTCCTCCTCTCATTGTTAGTGTTCACCGGCTGTAAATTCCGGCGGAAAGTTCTGGTTGTTCGTCCGTTTCTGCACTTTGATCTTTTTCCAGAACTTGAGCTTCGCGTGTACATCTGTTTTACAGATATGATTTATTTGTATGCAGATTTTTGGTTCCTCGCTTGTGAGACAGAGGCACTCCGTCTTTAAAGAAAAGACTTCTAATTTGTCGACTTTTACAATATACTGTTTTATTATACAATGCGCTGATCTCTCTCCCCCCCCCCCCCCTTTCCAAATATGGTCCAGGAGCCAAGATGGGAATACATAACCAATAAAAAAAGTAAAGTAAAGGACCCTTTTCCACGCCTTTAGGCGTATAGGGCAAATAGGGCTAGATCTATATTTTTATAGACCAATCGGCACAAGATACGGGATGTGGTCAGCATCACGCCAGCCGCCTTTACTTCCCGGGACTGCACCCGGTACCCACTCAAGGCTGGGTCAATCTGGGAGCCAAGGTCAATATTGAAAATAGTCCGGCTCCGCCAGGGAGCGAACCCACATAACCAATGCCAATAGACAAATAAAACTGCCTTACGAGATCAGTTATAGTTTGCCCAGTGTCATAGTCTTGTACAGCTGGCTTCCAGTATAAACTGGAGGATTAGGCATGACAGGCTTCATAGTTTTCTGTGTGCTTCCGACAGCGCTTCGCTAATGCTGTTTTCTCATATGGAACGGTAGTCTACGGTTTCACTGCCTGAAGAAACAGAATTTAGTGCTTGGTGCAGCACTTTGAGCTGTATTTTTAATGTTTAAGGCCTTTCATTAGTGCAGTGGTCGTGTCGTGGAATTATGTCCGGTAGCCGGTTTACGTGTGAGCTAGTGAAATACCTTATAACAGTTATAAGTGTGTTTAGCCACGTCCAGCTGTATCTTTTTTTTTTTTATATATCTAAAGATGGCGTGGTTTAGCCAACTTATCGTGCCCGACTACATCCAATAACGACAAACTGTATTTCTGCTAGCGACTGTTGGCTTTGGCGCCTCTTGCAACTGCTATGCTATATGTATTTACAGCATGTGCATATTTCTGGATTGTTCCGGGACTGACTGTTTGTTCACCAGTTTTTTAACAGTGAGGGATACTTTATTTGATTTGCACCGGCACAGGAACAGAGCAAGTATGGGGAAAACCCGATTGCTGTGAAGTTGTAACATCGACTAAGACTCTCTAGCTGACAGGTTTTCGTTTCTGTTTTCTAAATCGAAAGTTCAGAATCGAAGCAATCGCCAGGAACAGTTCAGTCTTTTTACCAAAGAGACCCTGTATATTCTGATTCAATAATTTTAATTAATAACAAAAATTGTGGTATGTTTCAGGTGTTCACTATGAGTTATTCTATGTTCGCAATGGAATCATCAACCAGTACGCCCTCTCCTTTGATCTTCCGCTGCAATCCCACATCGATGACATCTTCTTCACCTGGCAGAGCCTCAGAGATGAGCCTCAGGTAAGTTCTTTAAATTCCTACCTTCTTGAGTGTGTTCTTTAACTTCTTACCTCTTCGAGTGTGTTCTTTAACTTCTTACCTCCTCTAGTGTGTTCTTTAACTTCTTACCTCTTCGAGTGTGTTCTTTAACTTCTTACCTCCTCGAGTGTGTTCTTTAACTTCTTACCTCCTCGAGTGTGTTCTTTAACTTCTTACCTCCTCGAGTGTGTTCTTTAAATTCTTACCTCCTCGAGTGTATTCGGTATTTAGTTCCAGTTCGGTATTTATTGACAGCCTAATTTAAGTTCGTTATCCCTTCATAACCTTATGTATCTCCTCCCCCCCCCCCTCTCTCTCTCTCTCTCTCTCTCTCTCTCTCTCTCTCTCTCTGTGTGTGTGTGTGTGTGTGAGTATCACACATACACACACAAAGGCACATATATACCAGTATATATTATGACATATATTTACATAAATATTATTTTGTGACTCTTTTTTAAAATTCTTTTAAAGGATTTTGTGTATCCGTGTCGGTTTGTTTATGTATGTGCTGATAAGGGCTCTGTAGTCGCAACGTTCACTTTTCGTTTGTGTTTGTTATATTGTGAAGCTTCAATTGTTGTTTACACGATTAAATCTTTATCAGTTGTTAAATTTAGTTCATTGTTTGCAAAATTACATGTTTATCTAATTTAACTGTGGTTCATTGAATGTCAAACTCCGCAGATGTTCTACAAGATGAGTTTTAACGTCAGCAATTCCCGGGCAATGTCCATGCCAACAGCCAACATTTCCCTCAACGGAGAAGTCCCTAACCAAATATCAGGTAAGTTGTTGCAGCTACATTTCCCTCAGCGGAGAAGTCCCGAAGCAAAAATCAGCTGCGTTGTTGCAATTACATTTCCCCAAAATAGAGATTTCCCGAAGCAAGATTCAGCCGCGTTGTTGCAATTACAACATTTCACCAAAATAGAGAAGTCCCGAACAAAGTACAGGTGAGTTGCTGCAATTACAACAGTTCTCTAAAACATAAAAATCCCAAACCAAGTATCGGGTACATTGTTGCAATTACAAAATTTTCTTAAAAGAGAGAAGTCCCGAACCAAGTACCAGGAGCTTTGTTGCAATTACAGCATTTCCCTAAAACACAGAAGTCCCAAATCAAGTACCAGGTGCGATGTTGCAGCTACAACTTTTCCCCCAGCGGAGAAGTCCCGAACCAAGTACCAGGGGCTTTGATGCAATTACATTTCCCCCAAAACTGAAAGTTCCAGGTTCGTTGTTGCAATTAGAACAGTTCCCCAAACTGAAAGTACCAGGTTCGTTGTTGTAATTACAACATTTCCCCAAAACAGAGAAGTCCCGAACCAAGTACCAGATGCGTTGTTACATTTACAACAGTTTCATAAACGAAGAAGTCAGCACTTTATGGGTGATGTGGTCAGCACCACGCCGGCCGCCTTTACGTCCAAATATAGTACATGACACCCATTTCAGGAGCGGTTGACCTGGGCGGGTAGATGAGTTTTAAAATTATTACCTCCCCCTCCCCCATATTCCCCCAGCAACCCCTTTTCCCCTTTCCTCCAACGTGGCTTTACAAGGAGTGTGAGAGATAAAGACCTCACTGTGTTCCATTCCCAAAGATGGCACAGAATACATTGCATCGGATCTCCAGTTGTGGAGACGAGGCACTTTTCTTTCATAATACCTTCCATTGTCGCCAATTTTCATTTCCACTTTCACAGAGTCAGCACATAGTCTGATTGTATAAAGCACACATCACTGCTCGATAAAATAAGTAGTCAGATTTCTCTAACACACTCAGACCAAACATAAAAACCTACTACTAGACAGGATGCGTTGTTTGGGGCACAAAGTCTGAAATATTTGTAGCCTGGACTATGATAATGGTACATGTTATCTTTCTCTGATCACCTGCCACAAATTCTATAACATTCCTGAAATGTCTGCTGTTCTTGTGGTAGCAGTGGAGGCTCCGGGCGGAAGATGCCGAGAAATTCACGAGTGGATGGAGATGGGAAAGATGCGTTGTTCGCAAGTGATAGATATCAGACGCTGAGCCTGTAAGAACAGGAGATTGTGGTGGTACTAACGATCGTCTGCTTCTTCATTCGCCCTTTCCATTTCGTCTTTTACCGCTTTAGTTGTCGAGGAGATATAAAGTTCTGCTTCTTGTTCATCTCTTCGACTCAACCATAGACACATCTTGCTGTTGTACATTTTCTTCTTCTATCTTCCCATCTTGTTCTTGGTCTACCTTATGCTCGACTTTTTTTTTTTTTTTTTTTTTGTGGGGGGGGGGGGGGGGGTCTATGTCTTGTATGCTATAGCGTCACAAGGAGTTGCACTTTGATTGAGCAAACGATTTGATTTGCTGCCTTTGTTTTTAATGTAGAATTGATTCCGTGCCGCATTTTTCTCTTAAGATTTCTCTCATGACCACTATTCCTGATTTTATCTCTCCTGATTACGTTTTCAGTAGGGGCTTTTGAGCTGAAATGCCATATATAGATTCTCAGAATATCTTATACAAAGAAGAGGAGAAATACTGACATCTTGTAAGATGTGAACATCAAGGAAGATTGGCTAATAAACAGCATCTTGTCTCAGAAGCTGAAATATTTTGGTCATTTCAAGCGCCACGACGGATTGAAAAAAAAAAAATATAGCAGAGGGCATGGTACCAGAAAGGAGGGGCAGGGGCCGACCAACATGAAGATGGGCACAGGATATAAGTGACTCCTTGAGCATGAAAGTACATGAGGCGGGAGAACTGGCAAGAAACCGAGTTTTTTTCCCCAGGCAGACCTAGATGAGAGCGATGTTCTGTAAAGTACCTGCTACATGATGATGATCTGGTTTTCAAACCTTCTGAGACATCCATGGCTTCTAGAGGCTGTACTCTCCCTAACGATCTATTCTGATGAGGGGAGTTTAGGTACATCTATCTTTCTACCGGAGCTGCGGGGATGTAGGGGCTAGAAGCTCTCCTGTCGGCCCGAAAGTTTCTTCCCTGTGATTTCCGGGCCTCATTTTGGGGAATAAAAATAGTAGACCTGCTGCCCCCACTCCTCCCAACAAGCATGTCGTAAAAGTCGACTAAGTCGGGGTGTTTCTTTCGAAGTCGTGGTGCATTTGCTTGAGAGGCGAGGGATTCACAGTTTTCTTCGCGTTCACTGACTGTAAACTCTGGCCGAAAGTTCTGGTTGTTCGTCCACTTCTGGACTTTAGTCTTGCTTTCACAACTTTAGTTTTGTGTGCCATTTGTTTTTACAGATCTTGTTTATTTGTAATCATGCTGTTGGTTCTTCGCCTCTAAGGCAGATACACTCCGACTTCCAAGGAAACACCCATATTTAGTCGCCTTTTACGACATGCTTGTAAGGTTGCAGTTGATCTCCCCCGCTCCTTAAGGGTCTCAGAACTCACATGGGGATATGAAAGACTAACCAGTTGAGTTGAGTTGAATCAAGAATTGACATCATAGCATTTGGGGCATTCCCATGCTCGCTTTGTTCTTATCTTCAGCAACCATGCAGAGTCCCAATATTAATGGTTGTTTTCTCCTTTTCGCCCACACCTGGCCGCTCGCTGAAGATGGCGTCAAGCACAGAGCACGTGCTCCATAGCTCCGACGACATTAACATCCCAGCTGCGGTGTCATCTGTGAGATGATCTGTATCTGTATGACATTCTTGTAGACCTGTCTTCCATATCTGGCGGTCCGCGGACTCCGGCGGCCCACAGAGCACATTTAAGTATTCCACAATATCTTAGAATGCTGTCTGAAAGGCGAGGACTAACAGCCTGCTTACATATAAACCACATCTGTAAAGTGGATGTGCACGCAAAACTCAAGTTCCGCAACAAGACTAGAAGTCCAGAAGTGGACGAACAGCCAGAACTTTCCCCCGCCCTTCAAAGAAACGCAGACAAAAAAGAAGACTGTCGTACCAACGTTTGATGTAACACATGACATCTCTCCACAGTCTTCCGGGTGACCCTGCCCTGCACGGGCCAGATAAACGCAGAGGTTCACATTAGCATCCAAATGAGCATCAGTATCTTGTCTGTGTCCAACCCCACGCTGCTCAACTTCAAACGGAAAAAAGTCTGCCTCAAAAGTGAGTCACTGTTTGTGTTTGTTTAAAGGAAAGTAGTCGCTTCCATGGTGTTTTTCTGTCTCTCTCTCTCTCTCTCTCTCCCCCCCCCCTCTTTTTTTTAGTTGTCTTTACTACAGGTGTTTACCCATTTTTATGGCAACGAATGACAATGAGCGTTGGGGGGAAAACTAAACAAATTCCAGTGAATCAGGAGGTGAGGAAAAGACGCTGGCGTTAAATAGAGTGTACGTTGAGGAACCCTGAGAGCAATATTTCTATGAGGGTTTAACACTGGCTCCCACAGAGGCATAGAAATAAAGCAACAACCCCTCCCCCCCCCCCAATCCCTACCAAAACTTACTTACACACACACACACACACACACACACACACACACACACACACTCGGGGAGATGGAAACTGGAGAGTGGGAATGAAACGATGGGGAGGAGGTGGAGGAGAGCTGCAAATGATAGCAAAGCTTAGGTTGACATGGCATGAGTTTGTTGAGGGCCTATGCTCCACTGGAGGATAACGGGAAGACGGAGGAGGAGGACTCGGTGAGGGGGAGGACGACGACGAAGGAAGAGTCTTGAACCTGAGGATTTAGGAAATTGCCAGGAAATTCTGGAAATTATTTTTACCGCAGTATTTACACATATGTGTACTCTGGAGTACCCAGCTGATGCTGTTAATAAAATTATTATTTCTTCTTTTTCTTCTTCTTCTTCTTCTTCTTCTTCTTCTTCTTCTTCTTCTTCTTCTTCTTCTTCTTCTTCTTCTTCTTCTTCTTCTTCTTCTTCTTCTTCTGCGTTCGTCTTTAAAAGGGCGTTGACAAACTGTGATGTGGTTTACAGCTAGGGTGCGATATCTGTACCTTTCTGCCCAATACATCCGCCAGCAGACCACTAATTAGTAGGGGGAAGTGTGTCTTTCGCCGCCCCCCCCCCACACCACACACACACGGTGGAGCAGATTAAACAGTGAAGAGATCGCAGTTGCAAACAGGCAAACGTACAAGCATAAAACGCCTCGTTACACTCCGTCATTGATACGGCCATCCATCACTCCATTGTTTAAACTCGTACAGATTACCATTCGTTTATTTATCTTCCTCATCGGTTGAGCTGCCGGTGTCATATCTGTGGCATTCCTTTCTAGAAGAGTAGCAAACAAGGCCGTCTCATTCTCAGAACGTAAATATGGTCCCGTCACAGAAGGCGACCGCAGCTTTTCGCGAAGAAAACCGTTTCACAGAAGATCAGCGTTAGAAAAAATTCGGTCAGTGATTCTCAAAGTAGGCGCGTGGGGCGCTGAGCGATCCAAAAGAGTGATAGTAGAAGCCTGGAGCGTGTAATTATGGGTGTAAAATAAAATATAAAATGAAATAAATAAGGCCGAAGTGGAATTAAAGCCGTGTAACAGTCTCATCTTGATTAAAATTATTTTGTGAGTCGTTATATGTATTTTAATGTAAACTTTCTTTGTGTTTATCTCTGTGTGAGCCTGTGTTACGAAGGCCTTTCGATTAGTTGAAAAGTGTCGTAAGAGGCGACACGAGTGGGCTTGGGTTGGCTACTCTACCAGGTAAAACGCTCACTAGAGCCAACCAACTATTAGCACGATTGACACAAGTTTGTTGAATGTCTCTGCTCTATTGGGGGACAGTGGGAAGAAAGAAAGAAAGAAAGAAAGAAAGAAAGAAAGAAAGAAAGAAAGAAAGAAAGAAAGAAAGAAAGAAAGAAAGAAAGAAAGAAAGAAGAAAGAAAGAAAGAAAGAAGAAGAAGAAGAAGAAGAAGAAGAAGAAGAAGAAGACGAATAATAAAAATAATAATAATAATAAAAAGAAGAAGAAGAACAAGGAGAAAAAAGAAAAAGAAGGCACATAAGAAAGACAGAAAGAATGAAATACAGATTTTTTAAATGAGTCGACATGCTAATATTACCAGTTGCAACTCAGTTAAAAGCCCACGTTTTACCCCTTTCTTTAACAGGGGACGCTAGGCTAAATCTTGGGACTCCTTGGTCCAGATTTTCCGACAGGTTAGAGCCATACTGGAAACTATATACGTAGCCATATTTTGTTGGAGTGCTGACAGAATGCAGTCATCAATTTAACTACTGTTTCATTTGCACTCTGTCTAGAGAGTTGCATATTTTCTGAAGTTGTTGTTGTAACTGATCGTGTTTTGTTATCACTAGCAGCAAAGTAAATATTTCTTTATCTGGTTCAGTCCTAGATGAAAGTATAACAATCGCCAAAACGCAACGCTGAATAAGAAGTGAAGGACTTTTTCGCGCCATCTTCTCATTTGGCTTATTTTGTTAAACCCTATGTGTCCCCCCCCCCCCCCCTTTTTTTTTTTCTAACGGTACGCAGTTAGGTTAACACAGTCGACGCCACTGCATATTGGGTATTGCCATGTGTGCTCAATCCACCGATGCAGCAGCCACTCCAAGGTTCTTCTCTAATTCTAATTGTTCCGACGAGAGGTTGATTATAATGTCTCCTATCTCAGCCTCGAAGTGCTTCATCATGCTTTACTCCCATGTCACGCAATCGTGTTAAGATATGAGATTCGTCATTAGCCACTAGCCCAGGCCGAACAGCGTTGATGATATCTACTCTGTCCGTGCTTCTTCCCACATGCGTTGGTGCATTGCTTGCCAGTTGGTTCGCTCGCTTATTACCCTTTACGTAAGCATGACCAGGTGTTTAGATCCAGGTGATGGAAGTTGAGTGCGATTTTCGAAAGCTTTTTACTCATTCAGAGCGCATACCACCTGTTGCTATATTCTGTAGCATGTTTATGGAGTTTGATACAATCACTGCATGCAAGGCTGTTTGCTCTGCTGGCCATACTACGGCAGGGTACCATGTTAGAGTGCGTTTACATATTCATGCAGTTGTGTTTTCGATAATTTCTCGGTAATTACTTATCCCGGGAACGTGAATTTTCGCGTTCTCCTCTTCTCATCTCGACGTTACTGTTTTATACAAAAATAATATTTAGACTACCTATTTGTATTAGAACAGGCGTTATATTTGTTATCTTTATCAGTTGTGTATTTCAGTTTGGTAACAAAACACATTTTGCAGTACCGACATGAATGATCCTAACCTTAACCATATAAGTTACGTTTTTTACAAACTTGGAAACAATTCAACACACTAATTTTAAAGCGCGTAGCCATACTTTCAGCGCAGCGGTTGTGGGTGTACTCAGAATTTAGACAAAACATAAGAAGGTTAAAATAAAGTTAATCTCGCCAAATAGAGTAGGTCACATTTCATTCACACGTTTGTTGGGCTGGTCCACTTTCCAGAAGGCTACGGGTGTGTCCCGCTCTGTTGTTTGCTGTTTGGGTTGTCTTTGATTTACGTTTTCATTCCGAGAAAGACAATGCCTGCGACATAGGTTGCAGAACTTTGTATGGTGTGTTGTGTTAGACCCAGTTTCTCCATGTTTTTGGAGTGTCAAAAGCGCTGGCGTGCTGAAATATACAACATGCGATATCACTGGCATTACGTAACGACCCCGTAACCGTGTGCCAATGTGACAGGTTCAGGAACTACCAATCAGAAGTTAGCTAGTGTCTATATGGGCGGGGCGTGGGGAGATCAACGTTACGTGTACCCAGAAAAAAAACAGTGTTTTGGTGAAAGGTCGATTAGTTAGCGCTGAACTTGTAGGGATCACTTGTTTTCAGTACTGCTTTAATTGTTAGCGTCTGTAGCTTAAGAGTTGCGAACACGCATCGTAATTCCGAAAACTCAGTTCGATTCGACACCAGAACGATTTTGAAGAGGTAATCGAAAGCCGACTATTGAAAAAGCAGTGGCAAACTACTGAACACAGAATTGCTTAGTAAAACCAAAATTAGCCAACAAATGCTGGGTTGGTTCTGCAACGTCCTGTAAAGCAGGCATGTCGAACTGAATGTCCTCCTAAGGCCATATTGGTCACATCTGTGTCGTTAAGGGGACTACACACGACAACTAATCGAAGTCATTTATAACATTTATTGCACAATATTTCCTTTGTGCGGGCCACAGATGTGCTGTCAAAGGGCCGAATGCGGCCACCAGTTTGACATATCTGCTGTAAAGGATACGTTCATATGAGGTTTTCCGAATTTTTCCCGGGTTGATTCTCATATCTGAGATGCTAATCCGGCAGAATATAATTCTGGAGAGGCAAAACTTCAAATAAATAAATAAAGAAAAATACACTATGCTGTCCGTATTTACTCCCCATGAAATTTTCGGATACTCTTTTGTAGAGTTGGCAGAAGTAACGTTATAAGATTCGCCTTGTTGGTCAACCGGTGACCAGCCCCGTGCTGTGGCTTTTCTTAGTACGATGTAAGTCTTCCACCTGCCACCCCTAATAGCCTCGCCCTGTCACATCGAAAGTTCAAATTGTATTTTGTTTTCGCTGCTTATGCCGCCCCACTTACGATGCCGCCTGTGGCTGCATCTCTGTATCACAGAACGGCACGGCTCTGCCTGTGACGACCAAGTCGGCAGTTACATTTTCTCGCCACTGTTAATTCGTGGCTCGTTTTGGGAATGTACCACAATCAAAGGCGCCAGATAAATGGATTGATGTTTTTTTTTGTGTGGAAAAGAATAAGTAACAAACGAGTTTTCAGTTCCTCCCTGAATATGTATTAACAGAAAACAATTTAAAACCAGCATTGTTGTGAAAACCAACATTAGTGTAACTGTTTTCACGTTAGCGACTGTCTCAGGTTGTTTCACGCCGGGTTTTCTCATTGCGTCCTTGTTGGCAGACATTAGGGCATCGATAACGAGGCTGTTGATAGCTTCCGTGAGATTTCCGAGATCGTCAGTACGTTCACCTGGGTCCCCCCTCCCCCCCCCCCCCCCCCCCCTTTTTCCTCATGTTTTTAGGAATTACTTCGGAAGAACAAAATAAAAAAAAAATACCTTTGACTATGTAGTATTGCATTTGAAGCTACCTGATAAGTCTGTTTTAGAGCGCTGTTTTTTTTCC